TTCACCTTGCACTTTCATGTTGTAGAGATGGCTTCTCTCCTTAAACCTTGTGAACCAACCTCTGCTAGCTTCAAACTTTTCTTCTGTAGTTTCCTCACTTGTCTCGGCCCTCACAGAATTGAAGAGTTAGGGCCTTGCTCTGGGTTAGGATTTGGCTTAAGGGAATATTGTGGCTGGTTTGATCTTTTGTCCAGACCACTCAAACTCTCTCCATATCAGCAATAAGACTGTTTCATTTTCTTATCATTCATGTATTCACTGGAGTAGCGCTTTTAATTTCCTGCAAGAATTTCTCCTTTACATTGACAACTTGGCTGTTTGGTGCAGGAGGCCTACCTTTCACCCTATCTTAACTTTAGACATTCCTTCCTCACTAAGCTTAATCATTTCTAGCTTTTGATTGAAAGCGAAAGATGTGTGACTCTTCCTTTCACTTGAAAACTTAGACGACATTGTAGGATTATTTATTGACGTCATTTTAATACTGTTGTGTCTCAGGAATAGGGAGGCCTGAGGAAAGGGAGAGAGAAGGGGGAACTGCTGGTTGGAGGAGCTGTCAGAACACACACACTTGTCAGTTAAGCTCACCTTTTATGGGTGTGGTTCCTGGTGCCCCCAAATAATGACAATAGTAGCATCAAAGATTCCTGATCACAAATCACTGAAACAGATATAATGATAATGAAAGAGTTTAAAATATTGTGGGAATTACCAAAATGTAAAGTGAGCACATGCTGTTGGAAAAATGGCACCAATAGCTTTGCTTGATGCAGGGTTGCCACAAACCTTCAATTTGTTAAAACAAAACAAAACAAAACAAAGCAGCGACATCTGTGAAGTGCAATAAAGCGAAGTGCAATGACATGAAGCATCCTGTAGTCTATCTGTGTGCCCAGAAAGAGGAAAACAGGGACATTGGTGAGCACTAGCAATTTTCTTTTTAAAATAAGGTGACTACAGAGAAAAATGATTAAATAAAAAAAGAAACTAAGGTGAGCAGGGCTTACTTTTGGCAGCCTTACTGGTTAGTGGGACAGAAGTCAGAGATTAGGGCCAGCCAAGGATGGCGACCTAGGTAGCTGACCCCGCTCTGGATGGAGCCCTGAAGGACTGCACCTAGGAATCAGTGTGAACCGGTCAGTCTTCTCGTGGACTTCAGCCAGACTTCGTATGGGCTTTAAGAGCAGATAAAACATGGCTGAGGAGAAACATAGTGAAGTAGAATATAGGTCAGAGAAAACTATCCAAAATAAATCATGGAGAAGGAAGGAAGGGAGGGAGGAAGGAAGGAGGAAAAGAAATAGAGAGTATGATATTTAATCTAGGTTCATGTAGAGTACTGACGACACATTAATCATCAAGCTTGCATGGGAGAAAATGGCTAAAATTAAGACACGCTGTAATGGGGTATATCAACCTGGGCTGTGACGTGGATTTTGACTTGTGTACTTCGAAGTACAATTTTCCCTTGGTATCTACAGGGGATTGGCCCTGGGATCTCCCATGGATACCAAAATCTGTAGATGCTTAAGTCCCTGATATAAAATGGTATAGTAGTATTTGCATATAACCTACACACATCCTCCCGTATACTTTAAATCATCTCTAGATTACTTATAATACCTAATACAATGTAAATGTTATGTAAATAGTTGTTATGCTGTATTAACTTTGTAAGTTGTATTATTTTTTATTGTTGTATTTTTTTCCAATATTTTTGATCAGCAGTTGATTGATGCAGATGTGAAAATGCAGATATAGACAGCCAACTGTATTTAAAAAAACACTTCTTATTTTAAATTAATCTTATTCTTATAGGAGCTTATTTCTTTTGGGAAAAGATTCCCTCTTTGATTAATACATTTCATTCTTCTTTCTCACGTTTTTATCTCTTCATGGCTTAATGTGGGAGGGGTTTCTTTGGCAACAAATAACCTCTCTTTGTTTTAATGACTTTTTTTAAATTGTGGTAAGAAAATACATACTGGAAAATGTACCAATTAAACCATTTTCAAGTGTACAGTTGAGTGGCATTAATACCTTCACATTATGCAACCATCACCACTCTGCATCTGTGCAACTTTTTCATCCCAAACTGTACACATTAAACAGTAAGTTCACATTCCCCCAATGACTGTTGTCTTTAAAGGGATAGATAACTATATTAAGCTTTGTTTTCTTTATGTGAGTGAGCATATAATTGTTTTAGGCATATGAGGGAAAGGATAGTTGCTAATAAAATGACAAATTTAGAACCACTGACAAAGGTATATAATTTGTAAAATAGCTGAGTGAGCAAAATTCTGATTTTCAGTTGCCCTAGGCACTTCAGTGCACTTCTGATAATGGGCATGTAGTTATACTGATAGAAATCACATCCATGCATAAAGAGTGGGCTTAATTATACATAACTACATACCTAATATGAGGTTTTACATTTTTTTTTTTTACCTATACTTTCTGGTTTACAAAAGATGAGACACTAAATTTTAACTGATCTCAAGAAAGTACTGTACTCTCAGAGCACGAGAGTCTTTTGTGTGAGTTATCCTTTTTAGAAAACAACACTATATTTTGCCCTCCCCTCTTTCCCTTTTGGGAATTGACTTCATTGTGTGGTGATTCCACAGTCTCATCTGGTCCCTGCTGTGACTCCAAAGACAGGCAAATGTACCAAGGCTGATTTAGGGTTTTGGATGCAGTCGGTGGTGGAGCAAAATTAGCTGATTGCTATTGAAAAGACATTTCTTTTTTTCTTTTTCTTTCTTTCTTTTTTGTTTTTTTGTTTTTTGTTTTTTTTGAGATGAGGTCTCACTCTTTTGCCCAGACTAGAGTGCAGTGGCCCAATCATAGCTCACTGCAGCCTTGAACTCCTGGTCTCAAGCAATCCTCTGGCCTCAGCCTCCCACCTAGCTGGGACTACAGGCATGTGCCACCACACCTAGCTAATTTTTCTATTTTTTGTAGAGACGAGGTCTTGCTCTTGGCTGAGCTGTTGCCAGGTCTCAAACTCCTGGCCTCAAATGATCCTTCTACCTCAGCCTCCTGAAGTGCTGGGATTATAGGCAGGAACCACCACACCCAGCTGAGAAGACATTTCTTTACATCCTCAACTCATTCGTACTGAGCCCAATCACTTGCACTCCAAATAATACAAATGAAAGTAGCCAAAGGGGTTGAATACTAATATATGCCCCAGGCACTGTGCTAAATGCTTTATGTGTATTGTTTTGTTTAATCCTCACAATTCTGTGAGATAAGACTCAAATTCCCATTTTTCAGATGGGAAAACTAAGGAACAGAAAGATTACATAACTTGCCAAGGGCACCCAGTTAATAAGTGACAAACTGAGGATTCAAATCCCTGTTCCTACCTTCTCTTTTAACACATGCTCCTGGGCCATATCAGGCTTGACAGCAGGGTTCCCTTGCATGAGAATCAGGGTTAAACCAAACCAAACCAAACCAAACTTACAACACGCTGGAATGCCCATTGTGTCTGAGGGCAGCACTGGGTGGAGGCAGAGGCTCTCCCACCAGGGAAGGAACATGAGGAAGGCAGAGGCTGTCTCCTTCTGGCCCCCGTTTGTTATCTGGTTGGCGAGAGGAGATGGGAAGAAGGGACACTTTAAGCACATTTCCAAAGGAGTCAGGGCATTCTTTGTGCTCTTTCTTTCTGGTTTTGTGCCCATTTGCCTAGGTCCTATAACTGTTGCATCCTTCTCAGAACTGCTGTCTCTCCAGGGACCTACTTCTCCAAAACTTAACTCTCTGGGCTTGCTCGTAGCTCCCCACGCCTCCCTGAGAATTTCTCTTTGCTGAGTGTAACTGATTTCAGCTGGTTGCTAGGCTAGCGGTGGACAGTGAGGTGAGAATGATTCCTCCTCCTCCTCACAGTTCCCTGATTCTCCCAGGAACATGGCCATATCAACACTTCTGAAAGAAGCTTTTATGCAAAGGACTCTCCAAGTGTGAGAGACATTTTTGGACAAACAGTAGTAGTGATAGATTCTGCCAGAAATTGAGGAGGCTTGTCCACCTGTGTCTTAGGGGTCAGTCATGGTGATCCAGCAGCTTTCAGGGGGACCTCAGAGTAGCTCCTGGGCCACTCAGTCTCTGGCCTTCTCCCCACTCCAGCAGGGCCAGAAAGGCCTCCCTGACTTCTGCTCATGGTTCGCTGCTCAGAGGGTACAGTCATTCACACACAGCTTGAAATTAGTAGAGGTAACATTTCCTGGGAATGTTCCTAACCTCAAAGAATGTGTTTGCAGATAGCCTTCATAATGTTCGTGAGTTAAACTCATGCTTCAGAAGCAAGTGCTTTGCATCTCTAGGTGGCACTTGTGTGAATAATTTTGTGGACATTGAGTCTTGTGCCTCCTCCTATAAAGAGGCAGCATGCTGCTCCAAATTATTCCAGGGGTCTCAGCCTGCTTCTGCTCATTTAAGCCCTCTGGTATTTCCTACCTAGGTTAGCAGTGTTGCACTTAGATAATTACACCTTAAACTAAAAATAATTTCAGATGATTTTCATACTGAAGCATAGTCTTTATTTCAGAATTGTGACATCATATTCAGCATGCCATTATCAGATAGCTCCATTATAACAATAGTGACAGTTTGCAGTTGAGTCATGAGAAGGATTTCTAGGACATGTTTAAAGTTATGTCATATAAGTAAAAAATATGGAAGACCAGGTTTAGAACAGGGGCCTAAAAGGAACCAAGGCTGAGGCTGTGTGGCTAGAGATATTCTTCACTCCCCACCACACTCTTGTCTTCTTTCTTGCCCGCTTTTGTACATCACTATTAAGGGAACACAGTATACGTTGTCTGTGCCCTTAGCCTCCTCTGAAAATGCTGCTCCATTTGGTCAAGTTACCCCAAAGCTACCACCTAAATCACACTATAACAAGAAAGAGAGGTGTTTTCAAATTAAACTAATCCAAAGACAACCAGAATTGGTTTATTTTAATTTTCTTTATTTTATTTCAATTATAGCCACTTGGAGCCAGTGACTATTTGGAAATATCCAAGAATTTTGACACGATATTTTTACGAAACATTCCACAATTTACGCTGGCAAAGAGGACTCAAGCTCGAAGATTCATAACCCTCATTGATAACTTTTATGATTTCAAGGTAAGGATGTAGTACATTTTCTCAAAACTAAACAGTTCAGACTGTGGAGCCAGATTGCCTGGACTGGAATCCTGGCTCTACCACTTACTTTGCCTCTCTGTGCCTCAGTTTCCTCATCTGCAAATCTGGGACAATAGCATTTACTTCAGAGGGTTGTTGCAAGGACTACAAAGGCTAGTCCACGTAAAGCATTTAAAACAGTGTTTGGCACAAGCTGCATGCTGTATCAGTACTATCAGTAGTAGCTGCAGCAGTAGTAAAACACCCATCACGAGACACTTCATTATACCAGGCAGATCATGTGCTCTTCTATGATGGTGTACAGTGCAGTGCTTTGCCCACACTGAATGCTCAATAAATATTTGTTGCATGAATAAATGATTGGACTGATAGAAAAAGGAATGAACAAATGAATCAGTGACTAAAGGACCCTTCTGAATATTGGGGGGCTCTCTCCCTATGACTGAGAAACCCTGGTAACTAGCAACAAACCATCTTGTGTTTGGCTTTTTAATCCATGTGTTTTAGCATGAATTGCAGAACCACTGCCCATCCATCAAAGACAGTACAGCCTGGTGGTTAAAGAGTGGGCCCTAGGGCCAGCTGTCTAGTCTGAAGACTGACTTAATTATCTCTGAGCTTCAGTTGCCTTCGCTAGAGAAAGGGGAAAATAATGGTACTTATAAGATTGTTGTGAGGATTCAATGAATGTGTAAAGCACTAAGAGTGTCTGGCATATAGTAAGCTCTCAATAAAAGTGAGCCTCTATTAATAGTATATATCTGTAAATATATATTTACAGTAAAAAATGTAAGTACAATTTCAAATTAGAGTTCATTTAAGTATTATTTTATGGTTAGATATATATTTTTCCTTATTCCTTATACAGAATTAAATAGAGCAGTGATTCTAAAATTGAAGGGACTTCTTAGGGAGGAAGCAAGTAACAGAATCTACTGGGAGGAGAGGTGAGATTTTAATGTTTCATTTGCTCATTCATTCAACAACCTTTATCATGCCAAACATAGTGCCAAGCCCTACACATTCAATGGCAAGCAAAGCCAGACACAGTACCTGCCTTCCTAGAGCTTACAGCCTAGTATCAGAGAAACATGAATCAAATGTCCACAGAGCTAAGTGTAAAGTCACCACTGTGGGATGGCCTTTTGGACAGAGAGGGAGGCTTACAGTGCTGTAAGAGTCTGGGGGAGAAGGCCGGGTGCGGTGGCTCACGCCTGTAATCCTAGCACTCTGGGAGGCCGAGACGGGCAGATCGTTTGAGCTTAGGAGTTCTAGACCAGCCTGAGCAAGAGCAAGACCCCATCTCTACTAAAAAAAAATAGAAAGAAATTAGCTGGACAACTAAAAATATATATAGAAAAATTAGCCAGGCATGGTGGTGCATGCCTGTAGTCCCAGCTACTTGGGAGGCTGAGGCAGTAGGATTGCTTGAGCCCAGGAGTTTGAGGTTACTGTGAGCTAGGCTGACGCCATGGCACTCTAGCCTGGGCAACAGAGTGAGACTCTGTCTCAAAAAAAAAAAAAAAAAAAAAAGAGTCTGGGGGAGAATGCACTGATCTATAGGGTGGGAAGTCCTTTGAGGACCACCTGCAACAGAACCCATCTGGGCTACTTAAAAATACAGATTCCATAGCCCACCCCAAATAAGGACCATGGAACCTTCATGTTCTCATGCTTCTCAGGTGCTTCTTATAAACACTAAGAGGAGTAAGGCCTGAACTCCAAGCACAGGGTGAAAACGGGTAACCAGGGTGGGGAGTTTGCAGCAAAGACCCTGGGAAAAGTCAACAAGTGTGGCTTCAGTGCAGCAGCCCAGGGAAGCCTGGCTTAGTAAGTGCCATCAAAATCTGCTGCTCATTCCCAGGGAGCTGACATACGTGTGATCAGGGAGTCAGGAGAGGCAGAGGCTGAGGATGCAGAGCTGGGGGATCAAGGCCCGTCAGTTGTGAGGGCTGGCTTCTGCAGAGACTCTGCTCCGCAGTAATCCATGGGGCTGGAATGAAGGGCAAGGGCCTGGAGGGGGCGCTCTGTTTTTATAGAGCAAAGGCTTCAAGAAGGAAATGGTGGAGGGGCATTGGTAGGCGGTTCTCAGAGTGGAGAATCAAGAAACTCTTATTATGTTTATAGTTCAGCTAGGAATACCTTAAAGCTATGGGCCCCATCCCTCAGTCCTACCTACTAATCCTACCTTACCCCACTTCTTAATTAAAGGAAAAAAGCATTTATCTATCTGGCAATATGATGGAATACTCAAACCACTCTCCCAAACATTTGCTTTAACTAAATCAGACATTTAGAGATTATACTCTTTCTTAAAGTATAGTCAAAATTATCTTAGTAGAGAATTTGGGAGCATTAAACAGATATTATTCTAGCATGTATTCATGGATATTTGTGAAATAAGGATATTCCCATGTAAATAATGAAAAAAGTGTCATTTGTGATTAAATGAATTTATAAGAGGAAATAGGAAACCCTTTAGATATGGAAAAGCTAGTCTCAAATGTCAACACGTTATTTTTAAGTATTTGTGTGTTTATTTAAATAACGATTTTAAAAGGATAGCTATGAATCCTAAAAACAAATTCAAGACTCTTTAAACATCAAGATGTATATGTTTTGTATTTAAACGAGTGGACATAAAATGTATGAAAGATATAAAAGCAGTTTCCAACATATGATCATATATGCACACTCATTCAAATACTCAAGTAATCAAGAGATATTAATGTAAAGCTTAGTATTTTTGAAGACTGTCTTGGCAGGATGCTGATATAAATGTAGGTTCTGGAAACTAGGATACAATTAGAGTAGCAGTGCATTGAACTTAGCAGCCAGCTGTGCAGCAAAGTGGAAACCTCTTTACAGTGTATCTGGGGAGCACCTTGCATGCACAGAGATGAACTCCAAACAGCCAGGTATAAATGTCAACATCAGAGTGTAATTGTCTTCATCAGTTTGTGGTGCTATAACAAAATACCACAGACTGGGTAATTTATAAGTGATAGAAATTTATTTCTCACACTTTTAGAGGTTGGGAAGTCTAAGATCAAGGCTGTGGCAGGTTTGGATGTTTGGTGAGGGCTGCTCTCTGCTTCAAGATGACGTCTTGTTCCTGTGTCTTCCGGAGGGGATGAATGCTGTTTCCTCATATGGTCGAAGGAATGGAAGGCAAAAAGGAGTGGACTCCCTCCATCAAGCCCTTTTATAAGGGCATGTAATCCCATTCATAGGCAGAGCCCTCATGACTCAATCACCTCCTAAAGGCCACACCTTAATACTTAATACTGTTGCATTGGAGATTAAATTTCAACATGAATTTTGGAGGGGACAAAATCGTTCAAACCACAGCAGTAATGGAAAGAGATTTGACTTGGAACCAGAAGATCTGGGCTGGCATCATGAGCTAAGACCTCTCTAGGCCTGAAGTCTCCCAATAAGAACTTTGCTTTCTACTTCACAGGGTGGTATAAGCTGTGTGGAAATATTTTGAAAAGTACTATGCACTTTTAAAATACCACTTTAAGGAGACAAACTATTAGGAAAAATATGGACATTTTAAAAAGCAGGGATCTAAGCTCCCAGATGTGACAAACAGATTTTTATTTTGTGAGAGATTTTTCTTACCTTCAACTTATAAAATGTAAAGAGTAACACCATTTACTCATTTTCCTCTATTTCAGGTGCGCATAATTTGCTCTGCGTCAACTCCTATATCAAGCTTATTTTTGCATCAACATCATGACAGTGAGTTGGAGCAAAGCAGAATACTGATGGATGATTTGGGGCTGAGCCAGGTAGGCGATATTAACATAATTTCTTTTTATTATAAAACAGCTTAATTGTTTTTGGTTTGATACACAGCTACATTTTGAAGAAGAATGCGATATATAGTTAACTATCGATTTGCTGCCTCTTCTAAAGCCAGTGTGGCAGACTCATCATTCTCAATATCATTAAATATCTTAGAGAACCTTGGAGTAGAAGGAACCTTAGTGATTATGTAGTTGGACGCTTTGTTTTGCATATGACAGAAACAAAGCCCAGAGGGTGGACTAATGGGCTCATAGTCACACTGCTGAATAATGCAGGCCAGAGCGGATGCCAGGGCACCTGTGTTTGGTTCTGGGCTCATTCTGCTATACCATGCTGCCTTTTTTGGCTATGCTGTTTCCCAATTGCAGGATTTGTATAGTGCATGATACAGTAGCCTAGCATGTGGGCTGCCTAGTACAAGACCATGGAGTACCTAGTAAGGCCCTGGATTCCATCGCCCAACCTTCATTCTGCAGACATTTATGGAGCACCTGTGGGTGCCAGACTCTGAGGACACTCTGTAGGGAACAAACCGATGTGGACCCATTTCTCCTGGAGCTTGGAGTCTGGTGATTTACCCCAAACTAAGCCTAGTGACTTTGCATTTTCTCCTTCTGTAAGAATATTACATGGTATATTTCTCAAGTATCAACAATTAAAATATTAGTCAAAAATTTTAAACTATCAATGCTCACCCCAAGAATGAAGAGACCTCCATTCTTCCAATCAGTGCCAAAGGTGAAAGGCCATTTGGAAGGAGGAAACGGTTCCTTATTGGCCTGAGTAGAAATTATGCATTCTCAGGAGTTTGGGAGTATGAAGCCCATATTCCTTTAAAAAGTGAACTTTCAAAATATGATTACTTAACCCTATGTGTATATCTTAGTCTGTTCAGGCTGTTATAACAATATACCATAAACTGGGTGGCTTGTAAACAGCAGAAATTTATTTCGCACTGTCTGGAGGCTGGAAAAATCTAAGATCAAGGCCCCAGACTCAGTATCTGGTGAGGGCCCGCTTTCTGGTTCATAGATCACTGTCTTTTTGATATAAACTCCACATGGTGGAAGGGGTGAGGGCTCTCTCTGGGGCCTCTCTTATAAGTGCATTAATCCCATGCATGAGGGCTTCACTCTCAAGACCTAATAATCTCCCCAATGTCCACCTCCTGATACTGTCACCTTGGGGGTTAAGATTTCAATATCTGAATTTTGGAGTGACACAAACATTCACACCATAACAGTATAGGAATAAATAGCTTATAAACCTCTGTGCTGGGACTATCTGAAATGTTGGTTCTCCAAGAGCAATACTTACATCTTTGACGATTTGAAAAATACACTTGAGGGGCTACATCAAATCAGTTTCTAAAGTCCTTTAAACCATTGGCTCTTAAATTTTTTCCCCTAGGATCAGGGCAAAGCTAGCTCAGCACATAGGGCCAATAATATATGAAAAAATTAGGAAATGTGACCTCGGCGTCATGAAGGTTCACAGTAAATCAGTGGAGAAGGTGGGCATAGGAGTCCAGAATTTTTCTCTGAAAAAGCATAACAGCAAACCCCTAAGGAAAGAGAGGAAAGTTCAAAGCCTTAGTGGCTACAGTCCCATGTTGGTATCACCAGTCTGGGCTGTTTACCGGCCTCCCAGAGACAGGGCTCCCCAGCTTGTCCCTAGATAGGGTGGATCAAATGTGCTGGCAGCTGAGGACCAAAAGCAGCTCTGGACTTTGTAAAGTAAGATCCCAGGCACATTCTCCAGGACTCAGGACCGTTTAGTCATCAGTTTGGAAAAGGCTCTTCGGAGTTTATCCTTAGGGCCTCCCCTGAGGCAGTGGGCCCCCCTTGCCTATAAAGCTTCAGAGACCTACATCAGCCTCCTCCCAACTTATTAGAACTACTGTCTTTTGCCATTACTTATTTCTAGTGTGCACTTTTGGAGAAAGTTTTCACTTTTAAGTTTTCTCTCTGGTAATTTGTTTATTGCCTGTTGGTTTAAATTAGTTGACTCACTAGTCTAATTTAAGAGATTGTATATGAAAAAGAATTTACAGAAAATTTTACAATCTAAATAGGTAAATATAAAAATTTTTAAAAACCTGTACTAAGTTCTATAAATTTTCATTTGTGGTGGTTTTAATTGGTGCCGGGTTTTTGTCTTTCTGTCTTGTAACCAGGACTCAGCAGGACTCTCCATGTTTACCGGAGAAGAGGAAATCTTCGCGTTTCAGCGCACGATTTCCCGACTCACAGAAATGCAGACTGAACAGTACTGGAACGAAGGGGACAGAACCAAGAAGTAACTGTCACTTTCACGTGAATAAAACTCTAGACAAATGGTTAATGCAGGGAGAACTTGAAGGAATCATTTTCTCATCATTCATTAAGTACTTTGTCCTCTGGACCATTTTAATCTAAAATTGCTGTCAAAGATGTAGTACGTTCGTAAGTTAAAGATTTACCATTTTTAGAGTTCTACTCTTCCCTATTTATTTGGCCTTTTTTCTGCACTACAAAATTAAAATCATCACTTCTGAAGATTAATGTAGAACCAGACATGTTAGCTTCACAATAAACTACCTGAATGAGCCTTGAATATGCAAACACACAGTTAATGCAGGACGTCTGGATATCTCCAAGCTTTGGCTGCGTGGTAGTGAAACATTGGAAACATGTCTTTTATAAGAGGAAAAACCAAAAAACATCACACATTTCAATTCACAACAAATCTTTCCAATTTTATTATAAACTAAAAGTAATAACATTTTAGAATATGGGTTTATACATGTGATTTGGGGTTGTTTTTTTTAGCTGTGAATTATAATAAACCTCCCAATCCTTCAGGTTTCCTCACAACAGAAAGAGTATGTTTTTTACCCCGAGATCAAGCTTGGTAGGCAGTACCTGATCTCAAGTGGTCACAGAGTTGTCTGAAAAAAATCAAGGATTATGACACCATCAGGTAAGGAACAAATGTTAAATTCCAACTAATGGGCAGATCTGCAGGCACATCCCCCAGCTCTGAAGGCCAGGAATGGGGACCAGTGAGAGAGTGTTGGGAGGGGCAGAGTCGTAGACACACCAAGCCCGAGTGGACTCCTGCTCATCTGAGGCCAGCTGCGACCCTGGTGGACATGTCGCAGGCTCCGTCCCACTGCTCATGCACGTTTGCTCCAGGTGCAGAAGGCCACTCCCCAACCTTGCTGCTGATTCTGCAGTGAGATAGACCTAATAGGAAATGATAGAACACTTGGCAAACTTACTTTAAATAAGATCTGATTTGTCGTTCATTGAGCTCATTTCTTGATTCATTTAAGTAAAACCTGACTTTGCTAACTTGTCGCAAAGGGGACAAATTAGCAAGTTTAGCAAGTTTTGGTTGAGGCTGTTAAAAGAATCTTAAAAAAGAGTCTTAAAAAAAGAAAAAAGAAATCCACAAAGTCTCATGAAAATAAAGCATTTTGGGGGGTAGGTATGGATGAATGAGTTCAAACAATGCTTACAATTATCAACATAAGTGAGCTCTTTGAAGCTATTTATTAATATTCTTCCACATTAGTCTATTTTGGACATTAACCTAATGAAGTCAAGCAGATAGATGGATGGGTACCCAAGCAGAGAGAAAAATTTAAATTGAGTCTTCTGAAAATTAAATGTGGTTTAAAAATATTTTTATTCAAGTGAAACACAGTGAGTTCCAAAGAGGTTAAGTAATAGGGAGAAAGAATGGGAAATAACCAGTATGTGCCGGATTTAATGCTAGATATTTATATTAGCTCAGTTTAAAAAATAGTCCTAGGAAGTGAAAATAATCATCCCTGTTTACAGATAAAGAAACTGAAGTTTGCAAAAATTAAGTGGCTTGACCTGAGATTCACAATTTACAAACTATAAAACTCATGTACTATATTTTATACCACACTGCCTTCTACTCTCACTATGAAAAAGAGATTATTTTAAATATTGATTCATTTTTTTTTTTTTGAGACAAAGTCTCACTGTGTTGCCCGGGCTAGAGTGCCATGGCGTCAGCCTAGCTCACAGCAACCTCAAACTCCTGGGCTCAAGCGATCCTTCTGCCTCAGCCTCCCGAGTAGCTGGGACTACAGGCATGCGCCACCATGCCCGGCTAATTTTTTCTATATATTTTTAGTTGTCCGATTAATTTCTTTCTATTTTTAGTAGAGACGGGGTCTCGCTCTTACTCAGGCTGGTCTCAAACTCCTGAGCTCAATCCGCCCGTCTCGGCCTCCCAGAGAGCTAGGATTACAGGCGTGAGCCACCGCGCCCGGCCTGATTCATTTTTTAAAACTCAGTAAAGTTGAAGGTGAATTTACAACAGAACCATTGCTTTGAACTCAATAAATATAAAATGTTTACTTTTATTCTTTAAATCTTAGCTTTTTGCTTTTCATATTTCTTTGACAATTATTCTATGTCTTAATTTTAAAAACAGTATGAGTGGATAGACAGACAGATGGACAGCATGATTGACAGAGGAACTGTCCCTGAGTGTGTGGGTGTATGTAGAACATTCCCCCACTCAAATTCTGCTGTAAAAGTTCATTTGAGGTCAGGTATTTGGAATAAAATTTCATTTTTCCACAGAAACGATAATGTAATCTGAGGCCCCTGGTTCAATGCACAGAAGCCTATGTAACTCTCAGTATAGCTTCCCTAAACTGTGATTTTGGTACTAAGAAACTTAAATACCTTTTAAAATATTGTTTCTGTAGAGCAAAACTGGAGTTGAGGCTCTACCTGAGTAACTGGAGCATGTGTCCACTTTTGTATCCCTGGGCCTGGTGGGAGAGGCTGCAGGGGAAGAGGCTCTCTCTTTGGGGAGAGGGTTTATGCAGAGAGTGAGGCTCCATATCTGTATCCAGAAGGGAGAAAGGAGTTCCATGGTGGCTGGAAATCCACAAAGTCTGTTTCATAAACCAGCATACAAGAAAAAAAAAGTCTTCAAGAAGAGCCTTACTTGGAAACAATATGGTAGCTCCATTAAAAGAAAGGTAATGCCAAAATGAAACATGACAAACAGCCCCTAGATTGGAGAGCAACTTTTCTTTTAATTCATGTGTCTTTCTTCGGAGTCCTGCCCCTGTTACATTCTCAGCATTCCAGTCTTTCTCCCCGGGGTTGCATAAAATCTGTCAGAGCAAATGTTCTGTTTTGGAATGCTGTATGTGTGCTTCAAGATGGAGGTCTGAGCTGAGTGGTGCTGTGGAAGGTTCCCACTCACCTAGAAACTCAGACCAGGATGTCTTTAGAGTCAGGAGAAAACGCATCATACCACAGACTCCCTTCAAAATGATCCTCAGACTTAACAGAAGTCAAGTTGAAAAAAAGGAAAATATTCCTTAGGAAAAGAAAAAGAAAAATCTGATCACTACATTATTCTTGTATTCCTTTTGGCAGTGTATGAGGTTATTTGCTGATATCAGTAATCATGAGATGAAAAACATGGTGGACTTAAGTAATTTTAACCTCGTTCTGAGGCAAAAAGACTGTAGCATCATTTTAATCAAATTTATTTATTTTCAGTGGGATTTCAAATTTTAATCATAAGGCAATACTTTAATCTTCTTAAAGTATATTTCCTATACTTATAAGTATGCAAAATAATATTGTTTTAAAGTTAGTTAGAATTTTGAAAAAAATTAAAATTTCACTTGTAAAATAAATAAGTGGGTGTGCTCATACCAATTTATTTAAGAAGCATATAGTGCTTACTGTGTCCTGTACATGGTTGTAAGTGCTTTATAAATAAACTCTTTTGATCCTAATATTCCTATAAGATAGTTACTGTTATCACCATTTTATAGACAGGGAAGCTGAGACACAGGTATGGCTAAAAGAGAGTAATAAATTGCTAAGATATACATTGGTGTCAATAAAATTATCAAAACACTAATTTATTAAACTTTCGGTTTGGGTGCAGTGGCTCACTCCTGTAATCTCAGTATTTTGAGAGACCAAGGCAGGAGGATTGCTTGAGCCCAGGAGTTTGAGGACAGTCTGGGCAACATAGCAAGACCCTGTCTCTACAAAAGATAAAAAACATTATCCAGGTGTGGTGGCACATGCCTGTAGTCCTAGCTACTCAGAAGGCTGAGACAGGAAGATTGCTTGAGCCCAGGAGTTCAAGGCCACAGTGAGCTATGATTGTGCCATTGCACTCCAGCCTGGGCAACAGAGTGAGACCCTATCTTTAAAAAAAAACCAAACAACTTTCCATTTTACTGCCTCTGGCCTGAAAACAGTATTTCTAGTTCATGTAACTTGAACCTACTCTTGGTAGCCCCTTTTATTAAAGATTAAAATAAAAATCCCAAAGGATTGGGATCCTGGGTGTCTGACATTTGGGTTCCTGATCAGTGACAGGAATCTATCTTCTGGCAGCAAGCCTTGTAAGTGACCTTGTCAATTATCTTTATTAGAGCCACTAATCTGACAAAACATCAGTTGGCTGTTAGAAAAGGATTTTCTTTGGTGATGAGTCTACAACTTTTTATTAAGTTAGAATTAAGATTAGTTTTCTCCATTAGCATATAGAAGTTTATTTTTCTGGTACAGAAAATTTTAAATGATAAAATCTGTCCTCATGTCAAGTGTCTACTGATTCAGTCCAACATCTCACTGGAAACCTCACATCTGTCACCTCAGCGGGTCACTCAATTCAAACATGTCTATCTACTGACGTTTTGTCTGTGATGGTGTGAGGCTTAAGGACAACATCTGTCCTTCTTGCTCCCCTCTCAGGGCTGCACTTTCCAGGTTCCCAGAAGTTGACTACTGAGTTCTATGACACAGGAGGAAGGGCTCAGAATCGGGAAAATTTAGTTCTGCCAACATTGCTTTGTGACCTTGAAAAGATAGTGCTCTGAGCATCAGTTTTATCATCTTATAAATGCCCAATTCACAGAGTTCTTCTGAGGATAGTTGGTGAAAAGCATTTTGCAAATGGTAAAGGATTAAATGAATATTAGTTGTTATTGATACTGACGATTATCATAAATCCGTAATACACGTCTACTTTCTGCTTTGCATTAAAGCCCTTGAGGAATGCAAAACAGAAGACACATCTCAACCCAGTGGTTTCTAGCGGATGGGAAAATATAAACGTTACATGGCCAGACACCAGTGGCTCAGGATTCCGGCGTAATGAAATGCTGGAGAAGATTAAATTCAAATCCATTTTTTCAGGATTGTTTAATACAGAAAATGGATTGTTGCCTGGCTGGTGAACATCAAAGATTTCCAAAAAGAGGGCACCATCTTGTGGTCAGTTTGATGAACT